AGAATAGGGGTTTACGAGCTGGTATTTACTGACGGGGCCGACCGCCAAGCTCCCGGCACTGGGTTTGAAAGTCAGGATAGCAGTACGGGCTCTGTCATATGACTAGACGGCTGGAGGCTTATCCTGAGATCCTGTTCTGAAGGCAGCGGCTTCCAGTGTCAGCGAAGAACACGGCCTGCGGAAGCGGGGCAGGAGGGGAGATGCTCCTCAGGCGTCATGACCCCGCCCCGGCCTGTCAGTGCAAAAGTGTCTGTCCCAGGGCCTCCCATGAGACTGAGACGGAGCAGGATCCCAGAGACGGGAGCGGCGCCCAGAGCGGGGCTGGGGAGAGGGCAGAGGCAGGTGCGAGTTCACGAGGTCCATGGCCCTGGGCTCCAGCTGTGCCTGCCCTGAGCCGAGATCCCCTAACTTCCCATGTGGCTGAGTTGTCCTGGCACAGCAGCACCAGAGGACCAGGCTGTGGTCGGCATAAGGAGAGCGAGCGGGCCCCTGGTGTCAGGATGCGTTTCCCTCGAGTGTCGGGGACCAGGAGGAAGCCTGTGGTCGCAGCCTCCACGGCCGCGTGGCGCATGGCAGAGGCCCGACCCGCTGGGGGTGTGCAGTGTCCGACCACTTCACCCGGAGTGCCCTGCCGCCAGCTCCCCACAGAGGATGCCGCCACGGGCCTGCAGACTGCGGGGGACACGTCTCTGGGGCCTGCACCTCATGCTCGGCTGCCTTCTAGACCCTTCACAAGACTCTGTCCTTTCAGCCTGCAAGGCGGCCCACACCTCCTTCCCCACACCCTGCCGCAGCTGGCGGGCCTGCTTCTGGGTGAGCGTGACCTAGCCTGACAACACCCGCTCACCTGAAGGTGCCTGTGGGCCCGCGTCCGCCTGTCTTCACTCCCAGCCCGGGCGTTGCCCAGGGCCTGATTGACTTATACTCGGCTCAGCACCCTGGAACTCCTCCCCCAACTTTTGATGAGAAAACACACAAATCCTTCTGGAGATTTAACTTTTCTTCAGCCCAGAAAGTAGGCTGTAGGGCTGCAGTGCCTCTTAATCTCATCCGTTCCCTCTCTGGTTATCACAAGGCTTTGTTGTAAAAGCACAGCCATCCCGGGGTAGGGATGGGGAGTCATCTGTAATGAGGCTGTAAAAACCTGTGCGAACCTGTTGACTGCAATCTGGCGGGGCCCCGAGCGGTGCTGGGTGCTGGTTTAGTGTATGGTTTGCGTCCTATTGACTGAAAAGGGTGACCTTCCTCACGATGCCATTCTCTCAGAGGGTCAAGTCTTTCAGACCCCCAGATCAGTGAAACCTGTGCAGAAATTCAGGCTGAGAAGCGAGCAAAGCCTGGTGGTGTCTAGATCCTGCCTAAGCTTTGACCTTCACTCGTAAACCAGATGCAGGCAAGCTTGGAGGAGGCTTGAGACCTGCCGTGGGGACACCTTTTACAAGGTGCTCCTTTAAACTTGCTGCAGGTTTTTCAAGGACTCTTACCCCCGAGATAAGAAGGTTTCATTTCCCAGTTCTGTGGGGTGTTTGTCTCCTGGGTGGACCTGTGCAGGGTTGCTGGTACACTGAAGAATGAGCCTGGGAGAGGTTTAACGCTTAACGTCCAAGAAGTGTCAGCCTCCCGCTCTGAGAGCAGCGCCAAGGGGTGAAGAACGTGACTGGGGTCCAGTGACTGTCATGCGTGAGCAGGCGCAGGGAGTGCTGGGGTGAAAGTGCTCAGGACCAGGGCAGGGACCCGCAGGGGAGGCCCCAGAAGTGGGCAGGTCCAAGAGCAGACCTCCAGAGGCGTTGACGAGGGGGCGCGCGGGCCTGAACCCATGCTTTAGAAGCTCACCTGGCCCTGTACGGAGGAGGGACAAGAGGAACAGCAGGGCTGTCAGCGTCAAGACCAGTCAGTCAGGAGTCCTGTGGCTGGTAGCATTTGTTGCATTTCCATCTGAGTTCGTCTTTGCGCACAGGTTTTTGAACTTTTTTCCAGTTATTAGCTTCCAAGACAAGTTTCCGGGAGTGGAATTATTGGAATAAAGGGCATACGGATTAAAACTTGGATCCCTGTCACTCAGCTGCTTTGCGGAAATGTTGCTACCAGTGTTCAGCCCCATCCATAGCACGTGAGAGCCAGCTTTCTACACCACAGCAGCCTTCATGCTCTGTAGCTTCCTGTTCCACAGAAACCGTCGACCTTTCTCATTCTGATGAACGAAGAGCTAGCTGTTCACTGCCCAGGCGTGGGATGGAGCACACGGGGCTCGACGGCAGTTTGATGGGAGGACTCGCGGGGATCTGAGCGGGAGCCGAGGGGGTCACGTCACTGTTACACCCATGCCTGGAACCCCAGCTCAGCCTGCACAACCTCAGGACATGTTGTCCCAGCCCTGTGTGTGCCCCACACTCAGACCACATCCAGACGCGTGTTTACTTCTGATCCGTCACTTCATGAAGGGTGTTCACAAACGGGAGAGGATTCCAAGATGAGCACGACCAGTTCTACCTGCAGACTGGAGGGCAGAACTGGGAGGCGCTGGCTGCAGGAGCCTGAGCTATTCGGTTTCAGGTAGAGGAACTTTGGAGAGACGCAGACCTCACCTTGAACTATCTGAGGGGCTGCCCTGCAGCAGAGAAGGTAGACTGTCGATGGTTTTAAAACTTGGCCTCGTTGAAATGGAGAGTCCTTGTTGCTGGCAGTATTCAGTCAGAACTGAGTGGCGGCACAGGGCTGAGAGACTTCTGTGCCACATGGCCGGTTGGACAGCATCTCACACCACTTCCAGTCCTGAGGCTTGTGTGATTTGCTGGTTCGTAGGATACATGGAAATTAGATGAATTAGCCCTTTAAATGAAACCTGGAGGAACAACAGAGCCAGGTCTTCTAAAGGAGAGAAAAGGGGTCGTCTCCTCCTTGCCCACCCTCCTGTGTTCCAGTCTCCCCCTCTTCCTCTGCTGCCTGAAAACCACTTCCGTCCTAAATCCCAGGAGCTAGATAATAAAGCATCAATCTCATGACCGTTGGTGTCACATGGTAGAAATGGTGCAGCTTGAAATGAGCTCGTGAACTGCTCGCAGTCGTCAGCTCTGATTCCCAGTGTTCTCACGGTGATCGTGGCCTCGTGTTAATCGCACTAGTCACCTATCGGCTATAGAAAGGGTATTCATTTTTGAAGTTAAATTTTGAGTGATCTCTTGAAATGATGGGTATGGTACTGATTTACATCCCTTAGTATTATCACACTTAGATGTGTGATAATCAATTCTTAGATGCCTTAAAAAAAAATATTTTTCTTTTACACTTCTGAGATTGGAATGTGCCATATGATAAATGTTGAAAGAAACTTGCCGGCCATTTTTTTTTCTCCAAACACTGATATTAAGTGATGGTCTCCGTAACTCTCAGCACCTTGAAATAGAGGGGGTGCTTAGAACAAAGCTGTTTATCTCCCATTAACTCTCTCATGGCTTTAAGGGGCCAAGGAAAATAATAAAGTGTCGTAACCTGATAACCTGAGCAAAGAATTGTGTGGACGTGGGCATGACGGTTGTCTGTGGTTCTTTTCCATTTTCTCCCACTAGATCTTTCTGACCCACCACACTGAGTCCCCCTAAGAAAGCAGAGGGTTGGCCTGAGCTGCCTTCCCTGAACCCACTCCTCAAAGGTGAGGCCACATCTCACCTGTTGGTGGATGACTGGGCTGGTGCTCTTTGGACAGGGGTTAGTGTGGTCAGGGGCTGGCCCAGGGACTCGTCCACCCTCAAGAATATGTCTGCAGGGTCAGAACCAGGGAAGCCCTAGCTCTCACCTCCACACACTCACAGGAGGAGGACTCGGGCATCCCTGGAGGCAGAGGTGAAGAATCTAGCCTTCTGGTTGAATCATTGGCCTGACAGCATGAACTGTTGCTCCTCATGGTTCATGAGCTTCTCAGCCCTTTCCTCCCAAGCCTGTCTCCGGTAAAGAAAGTGCAGCAGAGAGTGAGCATGAGCTGAACAGAACTTCTTTTTAGAAGTGTGACAGGATCATTTATGAAAACCTTGCTGTTTTTTCCCATTCTGAGAACGTCTCCAGTACAATAATTCCATCAGAGAGTTATTTATAAAGCACCGTGGCTACATTCCCACATCTGGCATAGTTTAACCCTGTTCAGAGATGGTGATGCCAGTGACAACTGTCATTAGGAAAAGTCAACCTCTCATGTCACAGATCGAGAAAATTGAGACTGACTATCTTTTTGTAATGGCATTCTTTCTTTCCTATAGCTCTTGGGACCTGGTTCCTAGAATGTTTTTTTTAGAACTTGATAACATAAGGTCACTTAGGTCAGGTCACCCATAACACTCTCTCTTTGGAACAGGCATGTGCATACTAATGTAATCCTTCCTTGTATGTATATTCCTGGTCCTGTAGATGTCAGGGTTGGAACAGGTAACTTAACCATTGTCCCAGCCACTCTCATGATCTGTGAGTTCACGTAAGACCTGGGCGAGCAAGGGCAGGCTTTCAGGTCGGAAGCACTTCAGACACGTGCTCGGTCAGCACTTCTCACATTTGACCCCAGCATGCTTCCAAAGGCAGAAGAGGGGGCGCATTCTCCTGGTAGACAGTGGGTGGGCTCCGGGGCCACCGAGGGAACTGGTGGTAGTACCTGGGACTCCTTTTGCCTATAGAATTATGTGTCCCAGAATAGTGCAGCTTGTCTGGATAAGTGGAGCAGATCATCAGACGGTTTGTTTTCCTCTCTGGTGCCAGCGAAGTTCATGAACATCTTCCAACAGAGAGCAAGGCGCTGAGCCACTTTTTTGGCCAGCACTTCATTGTGAGAGCTTTAAGAGGGGTTCAAGGAGATTATAAGGTTTTTAAAACCAAGTAACTATATAAATTACACCCCTGTATCTTAACTAAGGGAAACTTTTAAGTACCAGTGCCCAAATAGAAGACATTTTAAATAAACCAACCCAGTTTTCTTTCCTAGATCACATTGTCTGTGTGTATGTGTGTGTTCCTTGCAGACACATGAAGATCCATGAGAAGGACCCCAACAGCTCTCCAGCCGCAGCGCCCCCGTCCCCACTGAAGCGCAGGCGGCTGTCCTCCAAGAGGAAACTGAGTCACGATGCAGAGTCAGAGAAGGAAGACCCGGCGCCCGCCAAAAAGGTCCTCCCCGCCCTGCCCCGCACAAATGTGCGTGCAGCCCCGGGGCTCCGGGCCGAAATTGCCCCAGCCTTCAGTTCCTCAGTCTGGGGACTTGACAGACCCCCACTCCCAGGCTGTTAAGCTGTGTTTCCTCGCGTTGTTCCGTAAGGTACCTGGAGAAAGCGCGCCCGTCCGTTCTGGCTTTGTGGAGCCCCCGGCCAAGCCCACTGATGATGCGGAGAGCTTGTTCTGTTGTTCCGGGCTGTTTTCGTCTCTCCAGCTAGAACGGGGGCTTCCCCAGCGCTGGGGCCTTTCCTGTCATCCCTGCTTTATTCCCAGTGCCTGGCAGATACTAGGCACTCCATGGGCATCAGCCGAATGAAGGGGCTGAGCAGGAAGGGGCGGGTGGGGGGCATGTTTGGTCACCTGGTCGGGAGCGTCCCTGAGGCCTGCGAGGGAGACGACGTCCTCCTCTCAGGCTCTGGGTTTACCGTCCGCCTCTCTGAAACAGAGCACGCAGGAGGCCCCCTCGTGACTCCGTGTTTCTCCTTTCCCCTCAGATGGTGGAGGACGGGCAGTTGGGGGACGCGGAGAGGAAGGCTGAGGAAGTATTCCACTGCCCACTGTGTTTCAAGGAGTTCGTGTGCAAGTACGGGCTGGAGACTCACATGGAGACGCACTCGGATAACCCGCTGAGGTAGGAGCGGGGCAGCGTGGAGACGTGCTCAGATACCGGCTGAGGTAGGAGCGGGCCAGGCAGGCCGTGCTGTGTGTGGGGTATGACACACCTCACTCCTGTCCCTCCAGCCTGTGGCTGAGCCCGTCACAGAGTGGGGGCACCGACAAGGCCAGGCGGGCAGCGGCGGCCGCAGAGGCCTCCCCAGGGCCCCGAGCTTCCTGCACTCCAAGCAGGGCCCCGGCCACCCCGGTCCCTGCACATGGCATCCGCCTGGCGCTGGACCCTGGGCAGCAGACAGGCTTTCTGCATGGAAGGTGTTGCGGCCCCAGTGCTTGTTAGGTGCACCCTCGTGGGTGGTAAGGGCAGGAGGGCAGGGCAGGTGCTCGTGGGCGTGTGAACTGGGCTGGTGGCACAGGAGCCCAGGAGAGCATTTGGGGGCAAGGCTGAGTCCCGTCCTGCAGGACACAGCACCTGAATGGAGCCTGTTGCATCCGCAGTGACGGGGGTGGTTTTCTGATCCTCAGTGGTCCCAGGCAGGACGATCGGGTAGTGATGAAGCCTCTGGCAGAATTTGGGGCTGGGCTGGGGGCCTCAGCTCTCCTTCCCCTCCTTCATCCCTGTGTTGTCATCAGGCAGGGAGCCCAGCGATCCTGCTGGGCAGGCCCCTCTTCCTCCAGAAGGGCTACCCTGGGGAGCCCCAGGCCTTGTGAGACTTGAAAGTAGCACGTCCTGAGAGGCCCAGCTGAGGGTTCCCAGTGCAGAGGCCAGGGCGTACATGGCTGCAGCTTTGGGTTTCAGAAGGCAGCTTGGGAGTGCAGAAATGTGGACATCTGTTTGTCTGACTCACCGATCCATGGACCAGATTTCCTTCCTGGGGGCACGTGTTCGGTTGTGTCCGAGGAGTGAAAAGGTCCGAGGCAGCTAAAGACATTTGTGTTCAAGGGAAAAGCCTAATTACCCAGCAACTTAAAGCCGTGTCAGATTCCATTATCCTTCATCACATTAGCTTGACATTTTTCCATTAGAGAGAAAAAAGAATTTATGGGGAGATTAAAGTCTGAGCAGTTGAAGTGCTAGAAAATGTCTCCAAGTGACTGCCCTGTCCAAGGGAATCGAGGAGTGTGACACGTGGGCAAAGCTGGGCGGTCACGTCCCGCCGCTGCTCTTGCAGGCCTGGACCAGCGGCTTCGGAGCCGGAAAGGAGGGCTGGGCCAGCTTGCCTGGGGTTCCCTTTCAGGCTGGATCCTCGGACTCTGAAACCCGCCTCTTCACAGGTGACGTTCTGTCTACCAAGAAGAGCCCTGAGCTCTTCCTTTCGTAGGCCCTGTCATTCCAGGAGAGTCAGGAGCTTGACTTCCTGGTTTCCTAAGCACCCGCAGCGCCCCAGGTGTGGGCTGGCAGGGGTAGTGACTGCTGACAGCATCCTCTGGAACCAAGACGCACGTGTGTGGAGCCCACGTTACCAGACTAGCCTCATGCACCGCGTCGTGGGCGGAGGCAGGCATCGCCTCGGCGACCCCAGCCCCTGCTGGTGCCCCGACCCAGCTCCGCAGGGCGCCTGGTTCACTTACCATGTGTGTCTGCTCCTCCCCGGGTTTTCTTTCACTCCGGGCTTTATTCTGTGATGAGCTCCACCTCAGGAGCTACCCCGTTACTGTCTTCTAGGCGATTCTCTCCAACGGGAGACACCCTGGCTCTCGGGAGAGCTTTCTGGGCAGCTGGAGCCTCACCGCACAGTGGGTGGCCGTGATACAGGGAGATGAGGTGTCCCCCCGTCCGTGCTGGCTGGCCCAGGGCATGGGTGCTCCTGGAGCGGGGCCTCCCGGACGGGCACCTAATCCGGGGCCAGGCTGGGCCTGCTGCTCAGAAAGGATGGGGACGGGAACTGCCCCGGACACTGGTTCAGTGCTCCACGTGATTTGGGACATAGCTCACCCACTGGGACTCCACGGCTGTGACGTTAAACTTCCAGTCCCACCCGTTTCCCTCGCCCACTTGGTGCTGACCCCATTTGTTTGGGGGGAGGAACCACAGGAGGCCTGTGGCCGGCGGGGCCCCCCTACAGAGCTGTGAGAAGAGGCTGCCCCGCGTCCACCATGGGCCGCCAGCCGGCCCGGTCTAGTGGGTGGGGCTTGTGTCTGGAAACCAGAGGAGTTAATTACAGAACAGAGTTAATCTCCCTTCTTCCCTCTCTGCTCTGCCCTCCACTCAAGCGCCTGCTCTCAGGATGCCGTGGAGGCAGGCCTGAGCCAGCAGGGCCCAGTCGGGCAGTGAACTGTGACAGTAGCTGGTGGGAGAGACTGCTTGTTAACCCAGAGCTAAAATAGGCACCCACTCCATTTGCAAACCCCAAAGGCAGCAGAACCACAGTGGGATGCTACCAGCTTAGACAGAAGTTTATAACTCGAAACAGCTGTTGGCTTTTCTCGCGCGCTCTCCTGCCCTTACCCCCCACCCCCAAAGCTGGCAAGGTGCCCATTGTTCCTTAATAAAAAGCACTAGAAATCCAAACTCGTGTAAACGCCAAAGCCGTTCTCCCACAGTCCCCTGTGTTTCACAGTAACGAAGTGGGCGCTGGAGCAGAAGGAGGACACGTAGCTGCTGTGGTCTCTGAGTGCTAGGTTCGCTTTTGCCCTGGTGTGACCAGCAGTGACTCGGCCCTGTGTCCAGCCCCCCAGACAAGGAGCAGAGGCTCCTGAAAGCTGGCCCCATGGACTGGAGGTGATAGAGTGTTGAAGGAGCAGGTGGATGCAGCGGGGACATCCCTGTGCGAGGCTGTGCTGGTGTTGGATATCAGGCCTGGTTACAAGAATAGAACAGAGTAGCAGGCTGTCCGCCACCCCGAGGAGAGTCAGAGGAAGGGAAGTTTGGGTCAGCAGCGGCCAGCACAAGCACGAAGGGAGCTGCGAGGGCCACGTTCAGTTTTCTAGGAGCCATGTCCTAAAAAGGAAGAGGAAGTCGTGAAGTGGGTCACGCTTTGCTGATGTATCAATATGTCCAAAATACAGCGTCGTACAAAAGCTGTCAGTGATGTGTATTACATTCTCGCTTTCATACAGTCTTCACCAGTGCAGGGGGCATGATTGCAACCCATCTCGTTGGAACACACACTTTCCAAGCCCCCTGCGCAGTCCACACGCAGGCGCGGGCCTGGGACAGGCCCACCTGCAGCTGGGAGGGCTATTTTTTAATTCCGTTAAAATGTATCCAGCAAATGAAAGAGTGCTTGTTGTGTGCCAGGCCCTCGACCAGACTTAAGAGGAGAGTAGCTACCGTAGAGACAGTGAAAGGGGTTGTGACAGTGCAGCAGGTCACGTGTGGGCGGACGGGGCGGCCGCCCGGGGTGGGCCCCCGCATTGCGTGTGAGTGTGGATGCTGGTCGTGAGGAAGACGTGACGTCATGCCCTTGGATTCAGGGTTGGAAGGTGGGGCCCGAGGGGGCTCTGCAGGCGCGCAACTGCACCAGGGGAGGCGGGGCTGCGGGAGGCGGGGGCGGGGCTGCGGGGTGGGCGGCGCCAGGACCTGGCTGCTGGGCTCTCAGGTGTCCCTGGAGTGGCCGCCACCCTTCACTGTGCCTCTTCTCCCCGCACACTCTGTCACCTGCACGGGGACCCTGAGACCGATTCACATGGCGCTGGTCCCACACTTGCTAAATGTCATCCTAAATATAGGAAAAGGGTATCACAGAATACTCTTCAGCATCTCGTATTCAAGATCCCAGGGGGCCAAGGTCCAGCCAGAGGGAGGCAAGTTTGAAACACGCCGGGGGCCGAGGGGAAAGACCCCTCCCCTGACTGGACTTAAGCTGAAGCGCTTGTCAGGGCTTCCCCCGCACCCCGCCCAGGGGCTCCTGTGTGACTCAGGCCCGCGGGGCGATGTGGCCACCATCTGGGGCTCACCCCAGCCCCTGTCGAGCCGGTCCTTGGACCTGCCCAGCTTCACCCAGCGTTACTTGGGTCTAACAGACCTGCAGGGCGTCAGGACGCCTTATGCAGCCCTGTGAATTCCTGGGTGTGGGGAGGGCAGGCTGCCGCAGGCCAGGGCCCTGTCACAGGGCCCTCACCGTTGCTCTCAGCAACTGGGAGAGATTAGTGCAGCTGTCGGATGTCAGTTCTCTGGCTGGGACTCGAGGGAGGGCAGGGAGGGTGGGCAGGAGGGGAGAGGAATGTCTGAGGCGGGTGGGGCCCCGAGGAGAGGTTGTTTGCACTCAACCCCTTCTCGCCTCTGAAGACTGAACAGGAAAAACGAAAGCATGAAATCCTTTTAAAAGAGGAATGTCAGTCCCTCGATTAAAACACTATAATGAGCAAGATATTCAGTATCTCAAGGAAATGAGCAGGGTGCCTGCCACTTTCACAGCAAGGTGTTTCACAGGTTCTGATGACGGGGTGTGGGGAGGACTTCCAGTGCAGCCACTGTGCAGGGCCCCAGGCTCTGAGGATGTGACTCAGGGTGTAGAAAGCCCAGGGGCACCGGCAGTCTCCGTGCTCCCAATGCTGCGCCCTGCAGCAGGGGGGCAGCAAGACAGCCAGCTGCAGTCTGACCTGTGGCCCGCATCTCAGTGACCCTGGGCTCAGCCTCCCCATCTGGAAGATGGACTTGGGGACCATTTTGAGGATGAAGGGGCAGCCACAGTGCTCAAACTGTAATACTCAGTAAATGTTTACTTCTGATACTACTGTTCAGAACAAGTGTTGTTTTTAATATTTTAAACCTCACAACACTTACAGTTATGGGTTCCCATTGCTCCCTGGGAATCCCATTCCAGTGACAGAGAGAAGGCAGCAAATTCCAGGGCTTCTCCAGGATGTTGATGTTTACTTGACCAAGAACAGGAGAGCAATTTGGCCTTTAGTCTTTATCTAATAAAGAGCCACCTGTATCTCCTTTCATTTTTGTAAAGATTAGCTAACTGAATTGCTATCTAGATTTTGTTTTGAGTCCTGCCTCCCAAATGATGTGATCCAACTGTGCGCAACCGCGGGCGGTCAGAAGCTTGAATGAACTTGATGCCTTCA